CGGCACTCAGTTCAACGGCAAGAAAATTCGAGCGTGGTGCGAAGAGATGAAAATTGCACAAAAATTCGTAGCAGTAGCGCACCCCCAGGCCAATGGACAAGTGGAGTCCGTAAACCGGACCATTGTCAATGGGTTGAAAAAAAGGTTAGACGAGCTGGGTGGAAGTTGGGTAGACGAGTTGCCCTCCGTCCTATGGTCTTACCGGACCACATCCAAAGCAGCCACTGGCGAAACACCGTTCCGGTTAACCTACGGAACTGAAGCGGTTATACCGGTCGAAGTGGCAATGGACACGCTCCGCATCGCCGCATTTGACGAAGTAACAAACGATGATGCTTTAAGATCACAACTGGACGAAGTTTTCGATCTTCGGGAAACGGCGTATTTGCACATGGAAAGAAGTAAAAACTTGATTAAAGCTCGGTATGATCAGGGGGTGCGGTCCCGCTCATTCCAGATCGGAGACCTCGTCTTGCGACGAGCGGACGCGCTAAAACACACGGGAAAGTTGGAGGCTAATTGGGAAGGACCATACACAGTCACCAGGTGTTTGGCCGGCGGAGGATATGAGTTGGCAGACATCGACGGGAAGCCGTTACCTCGGGCTTGGAACATAATACATCTGAAACGCTTCTTCGCGTAAAAAAAAAAAAAAAAAAAAAAAAAAAAAAAAAAAAAAAAAAAAAAAAAAGAGATAAAGGAAATCGAGGCAATTACGCCAGCGAAATCGAGACACACCTTGTACAGGCAAAACAACCATTAATAAACATCCATTTTCCGATCTGGGCTAGGCCCCGTGGTTTTTTCTCTCCTTATTTGGAGGGTTTCCACGTTAAAAAAGTAGTGGCGTTAACTCGCGTGTTTTACTGTGGCGTTAACTCGCGTGTTTCATTGTGGCGTTAACTCGCGTGTTTCATTGTGGCGTTAACTCGCGTGTTTCATTGTGGCGTTAACTCGCGCGTTTTACTGTGGCGTTAACTCGCGTGTTTCATTGTGGCGTTAACTCGCGTGTTTCATTGTGGCGTTAACTCGCGTGTTTCATTGTGGCGTTAATTCGCGCGTTTCATTGTGGCGTTAACTCGCGTGTCTCACTGTGGCGTTAACTCGCGTGTCTCATTGTGGCGTTAACTCGCGTGTTTTACTGTGGCGTTAACTCGCGTGCTTTACTGTGGCGTTAACTCGCGTGTTCTACTGTGGCGTTAACTCGCGTGTCTCATTGTGGCGTTAACTCGCGTGTTTTACTGTGGCGATTAACTCGCGTGTTTTACTGTGGCGTTAACTCGCGTGTTTCATTGTGGCGTTAACTCGCGTTTTCATAAGCAAAATATTATGAGTGGGTGCTAAGTTAAAATATAGGAATGGTACAAGATTGAACTAATGGATAAGCTTAAGAAGTAAACGCCACTGCAGATTAGTGGGGATATCGACAGACTAAGTCTGAAGTCCAGAATAACACAGGCATAAAAGCGAATAAAGACATTCCAAGCATATGGGAAAAACGGAGAAATTGTTAAGGATACAAGGCCAAAGGAAATAAGAGACGTAATGTTTAAAGAAATACATATTCAAAGTACAAAACATAAAAAATGGTTAAGTCTTTTTATGGTCTTCACTTCGGAACTGCTGCACCCGCTTCACTTCGATTCTCAGCATCCGGAGGGGGCGGCGGAACGAGGCTTGGCTGTGCCTCTTCGGAACTAACCACCGTTCCAAGGGCCCCAATGTCCCCGACAAAGTCCGTAATGGCTCCTTGACGGGTAAACTCTTCAACGAGACCCTGGTAAACCGGCCTCCACCATTCCAAGTTAGGATCCTCATTAACATCCCCCTCAAAACCCGGGATCACGTCATCGGGAAGGTCTTCGGCCAGTTCACTTTCCACCAACGGGAACTCGATGCCGGCGCCACATAACCTCTTTCGAACGGCCGCAACCGCCGAGGAGAAGAAAAAACGAGCCAACCCCGAAGCTTCTCGGGTGAAGGTAGTCGAACGCCATAACCGGTGAAAGAAACGACGAACGAACTCCTCGATAAAACGGAGACCTTCGGGCGACCCCGGGAACAATCTCTGTCCTTCTTTCACCCCCTCGGCGAAATTAGTAGAGGCCTGAACCCCGGCTGCATACAGCTCGTTGGAAAGTCCTTTGGCTTTTTCTTCTAGGCTGGCGACGTGAGAGCCCAGGGAGTCTTTCTCCGCCTGTAAGATCTTCTCCCTCTCCTGCAACCTCTTCACCTCGGAGAACAGCCCTTCCTTCGACGATTCAGACATCGCCAAACTTTCCTTCAGGCCTCGAACTTCCTTTCGAAGTTGAGTCACCTCCTTCTTTTGGTTATCGTATGCCTCACGCGAGACATCATCCCACCCCAAGGGACCCGAGAAAGCGATGGCGAATTGCTACATGTACAAAGAGTTCAAACAAGGTTAGCCTTGGATAAAAATATGAAGCTAAGGAATTGGTTCGAATAATCTGAAATCAGACAAACCTGCGTAATGTTGTGAAGAAGTAGCTCGAGACGGTCGCCTTTACTCATCTGCCCGAAATGGGCAATGTCGGTGGGAAAGGCCAAAGACCGACATGCGGCAATGGCGTTCTCCGCGTTTTGGCAGAGATGAAGCCCAAAACCGGCAGGCAAAGACGATCCAGCCGCCCCAAGGGCCAGGTCAGTTCTCCGCTTCTTCGGAGCGGTTTCTTTTTCCACCGTTTCTTCGGTCGGAGGAGGAGGTGGCGACGAGGCCAGAACTATGGCGGAAGACCGCCGGGGAGGTTCGGAATCCTCAATCCGTGGTCCACCTCGGGCGCGAGGAGGTGCGGCGTTTTTCTTGGGAGGCCTGGGTCTTAAAGATCCCTCCTCCGAGGAGTGCTTTTCAGATTCAGCGACCAGAGGGCGCTGGAACTCGAATGCTTCGAACCCAGGCTCCGGCTCGGAAGGACGAGTGGCCGGTTTGTCGCCTCGAAACATCCTCTTCATCCTTAAATCTGCCCACAAAATTGGGAAAATAGGATAAGTAAATGAGGCGCAGAACAAATATACAAGGAACTAATAAGACGACGGAAATACGTATCCGAGATAACACAATAAACCGGGATAAAAGACATGTATCGCAATCAAACCCACCTAAATCTTCCCGGGTTAGGGAGTACGTGCCGTTGTCGTGAAAATAGAAGTGGCGAAGCATCGGCGGAAAGCTAGTGAGGCTATCCGGGACGCCGTAGCTCGGTTGAAAGTGGGTTATCATTTTTAATAAACATTCGTCAATCGCCAAAGGTTTCCCCCTCTTCTTCTCGGGCAGGGTGGCGAGCCAAGGACACAAATAGGGGGTGTCAACAGGGTTCCTAGCAAAGAAATAGTGACCTTGCCACCCATCGGTTTTGTTAGGTGGCATCAGTATTTTGAAACCCGGACGGGCCGAGATGGAGATATGGAAGGGACTCGAATTCTTTAAAACCATGATGCTTCGAAAGCGAGCTGGTGTGGGAATCACCCCCGACCAGGCGCACAGCATGCGAAATCCGGTCATGATGATTATAGCGTGAGGATGGAATTGGTTGAGGGATACATTACATAGTTGGGCGATTTCAGAGAACCAAGGCGAGATAGGGAAAGAAAGACCAAAGTAGAACTGCTCGGAAAACCAGGTACTAAAGCCTAAAGGAGGGTTTAGAGGGCGATCATCTCGCGAGGGCAGAATTAACTCGACATCGGTAGGGAGGCCTATGTCACGAACTAAGTTAGCTAGATCTACTTCGCTCAAGGTACTAGGTCCCCACTGGTCATCCGGATCTCGTCCTTCAGATAAGGAAGGAGAACCACTCCTCGCAGAAGACGAAACCTCTTTTCTGCCCCTTTTCTTGGGCCGTTCTAAGAGCTTGCCCGAAGGGGAGAAGTAGGGTCCTTCCTCTGACGAAGAAGAAATAGAAAAGGCGGGGTTTTCACCCCCCTCCGGAGAGGGCATCTTTTGGCCGAAAGGATCAAGCGAACGGGCAGACATTATCAATTCGAAGAGTAAAGGCGGGGGTAATAAAAGATGGGGGGAAAGAAGTAGTACCTTTGTCGAAGAAGAAAACAAGCACGGATAGGAAAGAACTTGGTTCTCGAGAAGCAAAGTCGCCGGAGGTAAACAAGGATAGGGGAAGCGTAGAGGTGAAGAAGAGGAAAAAATTCTGAAAATTCGTGGAAGTCAGATACTTATAGGAGGAGGAAAAGTGGAAACCCTGATCACAACCGTTTATTCGGACGGGCGAGATTCAAAGTAGGTCGCCTCGAATTCGGCGCAAGAAGTGTCGATTGGACTCCCCTAGTAATGACCTAGGAAAGAGAAAAAAGCAATCATAACCGCCCACCCGAACGGACAAGATTTAATGCAGACTACCTCGAACCTAGCACAAAAAGCGCTGATGGAAATCTTCTCATGATGACCTAGGGAACTTGAACCGACCACGCGGGGTGTCAGAGCAATTAATGAAAGGGAAAGGAAGAGGGGCTGCGTATGCCGACGTAAATCTAAATCGAAGTGCGAACTGATGCCTCGTACTCCGTACTTATAAAACGAGGTAAAGAAAAGCCGACTTGTTTTATAAGTAAGGAGTAGGGGGGAGTAGTTGATACGGGCTTGTTTGACAATTAACAAATAAACATAAGCCCATTAGGATAAGCCCAATACGATAGGCCCATAATGAAGAACCCATGATGTCTTAGCTCGGTACCGTGAGCGAAGTCGTCGTATGGCGCGAACTCCGGAACTACGTGGGAGTACCTTAACTCGCTAGCCTAATACCAAAACGAGGTAAGGCGAGCCCAGGACAATACATGCCCAAGATACATGACTTGGGGGAAAAGAGAAACCCTAAAAAAGGAAAGCCTTGGAGGCCAAGCTTTCCTCATCTATAAATAAGAGAATCAACACACACACAAAGGGATGGGATTTTTTACACTAATCATTATTATATTGCATATACATTTTCTCTTCTATTCCGATCACTGACTTGATCGTCGGAGCTTTCTCGCCGGGAACCCCTCCCGGCGTTGCAGGTTTATTCACCCGGAGTACGGACGGAGCTGGCTTGAGGAAGACGAAGACCTACGGACTAAATCAAACTCGATCGCTCCAAGACTTGGATGCTCGGCATACCTGATTAAAGACGTACATACATACCCCTAGTTAAACTTGAGACGATAAATATTTGTTTGTTTTTTAAGTTTACACCTAGACGAAAAAACTAATTAAAAACTCTAGCTACGAACTTTATTTTTATGCCTTAATTTGCATAAATACTAGCAAGTCCGACCGAAAAGATTCGACTGATATACAGACATTAGTTCATGCTAAAAGAGAAAAGTGGTCGAGCCAGAATAGGGCAAGGGGGGGGCCATGGCCCCCTCTCCGTTTCTCAAAATATAGTATTTTATATGAAGATTTTTATTTTCGATTAATAGTGTATAAAGATTTTTTTTTCGATGAATAGTGTATAAAGATTTGTTTTTCTACTAATAGTTTTTGCATTGTGTTTGTTTGAAAATGAAATTTATTAACAATTTAAAGGGGTAGTTTTGTCATTTCATCTACGTCAACAGCCAAATCTCTGATTGAAGGGGCAGTGGGCTATATAAAACATGTACAACATAGGGATCCTAACTTATTTTTTTAACCGCGATGGTTTTTTCGGGCATTCGAGATTACATAGAGCAAATTAACTTAAATTAAGAAGAGAAATTTTAGAACCTTTTGGCTAAGAAGTCGACGACGGAAACAGTTTCCGGTATCTTCGAATCATCCCATTCGATAAATCCATCCCGTGTTCCGCTGTGATGATTACCGTTCTGCGATCCCGGAACTGCGTGTAGATCCAAGATCACCTTCATATTGTGGTTACTACGGAAAAAAACGGGGAAAACGGAAATAGTTTAATTTCAAGATTTTTAATTAAATGCAAAACGGAATGAATCTACGACGAAAAAAAAAAACACATTAAAAAAAAATGCTTACAGAGCCCATTCGAAAGCATCGTCTAAAGATTGCAACGAACCCCCTACAAAAGGCTTTGGTGGAACGAGACCGTATGCAATCCACCACCCAACCGGAATTCTAACGGCATTCAAACCGTGCCGAGACATAAATTCGAAATCGTCTTCCACAATATACGTGCTCCAATGATTCTGCAATTATTTGCCAACTTTAGCAATATATACTCAAAAAATATTGAATATAAATAAAAAAATAAAAACAGAATTGTGGACATTTTTACCCTCAATATTTTCGAAGCTTCTTCTAAACCATAACCGTTGGTTAACTGGTATTCGCCTTGTACCATTTTGATTATATGCATTTCGAATACAGAGGGATCTTCATTCTCCCATTCGTCGGAACTTCCCGAGTAATCAGCCGTTACGGAGTTCTCGTTTTCTGCCTTTTTAAGGCCCAAAAATAAATAAATGCATTTATAACATAAGAAACAAGAAAAGTTTTTATTACTGTGCTAGAGATTGGTTTTTACTTTAATTTACCTGAAGAAAAAGGCCGTTGGATGCTTGGATACGCACTCGGCGTGGATTGTCGACATTCGATACTATTCTGAAAGTTTCGGTTGTACCTGGTTCGGCTGCACCTGCCAACACTTTATAATTCCCTTCACCTTGATCACTACTACTAAGCCCGATGAAATCTTTGTTCACAACTCGGAAATTGAAGGTGGTTTCGTTTATTCTCCATAACTGCAGATTAATCAAATATAACATTGAATATAATCGGAAAGATGAAGAAACGACTAAACGAAGAAAAAGATAATAAAGAGCGTAAAACGGACCCTGAAAGTTTCCCAGGTTTTCGGAATGTTGCGATTGGCTACCAAAGACGAACCGCCGCCGTGTTCTGCACATAGGTACTTGTTGAGCTTTACGGACTTGAAATGCACTTGTGTTCCATCCTAATATCAAAATTCAAACCATGAGATCGAACTCGATAATTTTTTGTGCATAATGTAAGAAAGATGCAAAGTTTAATGTCATAACTCTTCTCAAAGTACTAGCTTATCTGGTTTCGGGTTTCGGGTTTCGGTTTCAGTTCGCGTTTCGGGCTTTTGGGTTTCGGATTTCGGGTTTTTTCGGTTTTGGGTTTCAGGTTTTGGATTTCGGGTTTTCGGTTTTTGGTTTTTCGGTTTCGGATTTTTCGGGTTTCGGGTTCAGTTTTATCGGTTTCGGGTTTTTCGGGTTTCGGGTTCAGTTTTATCGGTTTCGGGTTCAGTTTCAGATTAGGATCACAAAGAAAGATAACTTCAGAGGAATAAAATTACTACGAAAATATCCTCACTCAGTTAATTACTACATAGTAGCATTTTTCAAAAAATAGTGAAGAATTTAAAATTATTTTATAATGCATACGAAATAAAAATTAAAAAAAGAAACCCAGAATTTAATGAGCTAATAGCAAAGACCCCCCTGTGTTATTTCTAATTGTTGAAAAAGACCTTGTGTTAAAAAAATTAACAAAAACCCCCCTATGTTTTATTTTAAAAAACACAGAGCCCCTTATTTTAAAAGTAGTTGTTGACTTACGTGAAATGACTCTAATATCCCTAGTTAGTTTTTAATAATATTTTAATTTTAATAAAAGAAAATAAAAGAAAATATAAAATTAATATAAAAAAAATAAAATAAAAAAGAAAAAAGAAAATGGACTACATCTTCTTCCCATCACCCAACCCCTCACCCCAACACACCCAACTTTTCATACCACATCCGCTGCCGCGCCACCACATCCGCCGCCGCACCACCACCACTTGAAACACATTCTTCTCCGTTGAACTTTGGGTTATTGAGAATGGTGAATTTCAAGTTTTGGGTTACCAAGAATGGTGAAGTTGAAGGTCATAATCAAAAAAAAATTTCCCAATTTTTTACATGGAAAATGGGGCTTAAGCTCTGTCCTCTTCCCCTTGTCTTCTTACCTTTTAATTTTTCCGGATTTGCAACAAAACTGAGCTTGAGAATCTGGAGTTGATTGATGTTTTTTACAGGAAAAAAAAAATCAGAAAATGGGTCTAGAAAGATGGCCTTTTTGAAAATAAGAAGGACCGAATTGAAAATTTTGAAAACTTCAATTTGGTGCTTAAAATTCTAGGGTAAGTCTGTAATTTTTAAGACTTCTAATATGAAGGATATTTAGGTCATTTCAGGTCAAAAAACACACCCCCAGACGCACATACGGCGAGTGTAGCGCACGATAACCTGTCAGGGGCCTTTTTGGCTTTGACTAACTTTCGTAGGGGGGTTCTTGCTAATTTTTTTAACATAGGGGTGTTTTCGGCAATTAGAGATTTCACAGGGGTAGTTTTTGCAAAAAACCCGAATTTAATCAATCCCCATGATTTCTGCGAAATTCACAAGAACCAAAATTGTATCGATCTGGGGATTGGGTGAATATAAAGTAACATCATAAATTAATCAATTAAAGAAAATATAAAAAAACTCATATTTGTACCAACCAATTACAACATTCAATCAAATCAGAGAGAGAGAGAGAGAGAGAGAGAGAGAGAGAGAGAGATAAACCAGAAGATCTTTGTTGGGAATATTGTGAAAGAGAGAAGGAGTCATCCAGCCTTCGATAACAAGCCATCCGCCCAAATTCACCGCCTTAAACGGCAAACCATCGCCGCCGCATCGGAGCGGAACCCATTCAAACAACCGTAATACTAATACTAATACTAATACTAACCCTACTATTCTGTGCTGCTCCCTTTTCATTCCTTTTTTCAATAAATTTTACCAAATTATTTTGGCTTTTTCTACTTTTATTACTTGATGATTGATGATAACGCTTGTTGAAAAAGAAAGTGAAAAGTGGAATAATACAGAGAGAAAGTGGAGGGAAAATAAATATAAATAAAATCGAGCCGTTGGAGAGAAATTTACTCACCCACGCTCCTCTGCCAAAATACAGCGTGGTGTTGTTGTTACTTGTTACTTGTCGTTTTATTTAGTTATAATTGGCAATTTACGGTCACCATTCCAATGTAAGATTAAATTACAAAAAAAAATCCTCTTGTTTTGGTAATTAAAACCACCCTCAACTATGTATTCTCATACGGAAAATTTCCGCCTTCAATAAGTAAATTTAACACTGTAACGCTGGATGTGTAATATAATGCATAGTTGAGAGGGTGGTTGTAATTACCTAAACATGAAAGTTTTTTTCGTAATTTGATCTTTTTTTAGGGGTGATCGTAATTTGCCCTAGATTAAGTTCATGATTAGTTAAACAATTAGTTTTATTGTTCCATATATATAAAAAAAAAAAAAAAAAAAAAAAGCAATTAGTTTTATTTGATGTTTAGTTTATGAAATAATTTTCAGTTCGTTCCACAATTATAACAAAAATGAACTCTTATATTGTCTTATACAATTGAATTACTATAAAATATCTTAAAAATGAAATGAGCTATTATGCCTCGTTTGGTTGGGGATTAGTTATGACTAACTAAATGCTTGAAATTTGTTTGATGTTTTGTATTCTCAATAACTTGCCGAATATATCGTAAACATTATGTTATTATGGCTTATATTGCATGTTAATGAACTATTTTGCTGGATGTTCTGGGGTCCGATAAAACAATAGCGTTTTTATTAAATTATTGAATCATATTTTTGCTAATTTTATTTTGACAATCAAACAAAGCTTTAGTATAAAATTTTGTTTGGTTGTTAAAAGTGGCGAAACCAGAATTTCATCATTGAGAGAGCCGGATATGCATTAAAAAATAACGTAAAAGATTAATGAAAACAAGTATTGCTCCAACACTGGTGAATTTAAGATGTTGGCTACATGGTGGACTTAATGTTTGGGGGTTTAGATGCACTAAATAACCATAAATTGGTGGACTTAATTTTTGGGGGGTTAGATGCACTAAGGTGGTGTTTGCAAATGATTATTTAAAAGCAGAAGTTAGTGATTGTGATTTAAGTTAGTTTTAAGTGTTTATTTCTAAAAGTTGGGGGTGTTTGCAAATATTTCGGAAAATGAACTAAAATTGAAAAGGCAGGGTTATGGGTGCTTTTAAAAAAATAGCTTAAATCAGATTATTTTAAGAGAAGCAAAAGCAAAAGTTGATTTTGCAAACACCTAAAAATAGATTATGAGCAAAAAAAACCGCATAATCACTTTCAAAAAGCATTTGCAAACACCACCTAAATAACCAAAAATTGGTGGACTTAATAATATAAAGATGTAATACAGTGAAGATTTTTACAATTGAGGATAGTTTGATTCCATCACTTTTAAAGGGTATATTCGCCAGATTTTTACAATTGAGGATAGCTTGATTCCATCACTTTTAAAGCGTATATTCGCCACTGGTTCCAATTCACAATTCATAATTTTTTTATCCTACTTATTAGATCCATTAATTATAGAAGGAAAATACAAAAGCAAAAAAAGTGTACATACATGTATAGTAGTAAAAAAAAATTATTGGGATAACCATAATAAATAACATCAAGAGCTTCTTTTCTATAAGTGTGGATGGTTCAAAAAAATTATTGGGATTATGTAGTTTTATGAAGATAGAGGTAGTCAAAATAGGATTATGTAGTTTTATGAGAACTCAATTATAAACTCAAACTATAGTAGGTTTAAAATATAAGTCCACGATACAATAACATCAAGAGCTTCTTTTCTATAAGTGTGGATGGTTCAAAAAATTATTGGGATAACCATAATAATAAATACGGTTCAATTATTTTATTAGTTGATTTTCAGCTGGTAGTTGTCATCAAGAACTGTAGTTACACATTTTGTTTAAATAACATATTAGAGGTTCGAATAAATAACATGCATCACACTCTTAAATATATATAAACTTTAACTAAATTGCATAAATTTTCATTCCTTAGTTTCAATTTTCATTCATCATTTCAATTTTCAATTCAATATCCTCCATTTTCACTAGTTGCGTCCATTTTCAACAGACTCCCAAGTCCTTAAAATTAAATTTAGTTGTTATTTATTTATTTTATTAATTAATTTTATTATTTTATTTTATTTAATATAATCAAATTTAATAAATCCGTCAAGTATCCAGACTTCTTGGCCCCAAATCTACGTGTCATTTTACTTAATATTAATTTTATGGGAAAATTATTTAATTGTTTAGAAAAATATTTGGTTATTATCTTATTAATAAAAGTAAGGTTGTTCTTGATAAACTATTGGAATTTCATGGCATTATTGGTTTGATTTACAGTAAATTTACCGAGTCCTGTTATGCGTGAGAAAGAAGAAGATTCGTCAAACTTCTTCCTTAACTGAGATAAGATAAATATACAACCATATTACATAAAAGAACACAAAGTTAAATTAATAAATATGGCAGGATTATCATCAATATATATAGCACAACTGCCAAAACATCAAAATGAATTTATCGTTTAAATAAAATTTTACTTTGTATTAATTTTTACTTCAATCCCGTGCATCGCACGGGCCAAAAATCTAGTATTACTAATATTACTATCCCTAACAGTAATATTACTGTCCCAAACAGTAATATTACTACTATTACTGTCACAAACAGTAATATTATTGCATGAGACATTAATATTACGGTATTAGACAATTATATTAAGGTCGAAGACAGCAAAATTGCAGGTCACGACGATAAAATTAATTAATACAGTAAATTAGCAGTCAAGACAGTAATATTGCTGAAAATAATTCTTGTAAGAAAAACCAAAATTTCAAAAAAAAGAAAAAAAGAAGAAGAAAAAGACTGAACGCCGGAGACAACAATGTTACTGTCTCAGATAGTTAAATTACTGTTGAAGACAGAAATTTAGCAGCCAAAACAGTAATATTAATTAAAATAATTTTTTTAAGGGAAAAAAAGTCAACGCTGGAGACCGACGGTTGACTTGCCGCAAAAAAGTTTTAGAAAAAAAAAGTTTTCAAAAAAAAAAAGTAAACGCTGGAGACTGGAGGTGGCTGGTCAAAATTGGAGTCGAAATTGGAAAATTGTTCAAAATTGGTTAATTGGTGAAATTTGGCTAAATTATGGTTTAAATCACGAAATTGAAGTTTGAATGGGTTGGAATTATTTACGAAACAAAAAAGTTGGATGTCCCTTTTTTAATTAAGTTTCTTTGTCATGCCCATTTCACCATCTACCCATAAATTAAAACTGGAAATTAAAATTTTATGAGGTCATTATTAGACTCAATCCCTCACTAACTTCTTACGTAATTAGGTGTTATTGCCAAACAATTTTTTAAGTAATTGTTGAGTGTATATTTTACACTCAATGTATACTTTCTTACGAGAATTTTTGTATACTTTTATTGATTTAATAGTGCTTAGTGAGTGGTTTATTGTATTTTAGGTACAATTTGAAGATTTGGGAGTTCCAAGGATCAAACGAGCGAAAAAATGTAAAAAACGGGCAAAAACGGAAAAAAACATTCGGAGGCTGAAAATTGGCCTGGCGCGGCCGTGCCAGATTTAGCCTATTTTTGGCGCGGCCGCGCCATTTGCAGAATTTGGACAGAAAGTTTCGGTGATTCTCGCGCGGCCGTGTGAAAACACGCTGGAGACAATTTTGGAGTTTTAATCACATAAGGAAACCTAAAATCTTCTACCAAGTTGGGACATCTATTTAAGGGCAAACCAAACACGAATTAAAGGACTTTTGAACACAATCTTAGAGGAAGAGGAGCAAGATAACGGAGAAACGAAGACGAAGACCTGACGAATCTTCATCATAATTCTTTTATCATCTATCTTTTCTAAATCTATGACTTTTATTACCTTTATTATGTTTTTCGTAGAGAACATGAGTTGCTAAGTTTTTAATCTAGGATTTTGTTGGAACCCTATGTGGGGATGGTGAACCAGTTTTCTTGAGATTATACAATTATGATTTTATGATTATTTCTTCCACCTGTTATGATTGTTAGTGCATGAACCGGATCAATTTATGTGCTTTATCTGTAATTATTGGGATTGACTCGACATAGCTATTTTGATAATTAGACGTTAAGTATAAGAATCTTCGAGTAGTTTTCACCGTATTAGTGTGTTAATTGCGTGTGGTATCGTAGACATACAGATATTCACCTGAGGTAATCATTGTTGAGACTTATGCTTTAATGCTTTATTCATGATCGGATTGCATAGACATATAGTAAATTGGTTTTGGATAATAGAATTATAATACACACGACAACGGGTTATAATTAATATAGTGTCTCAGGTTAACAATCAGAAATCATATATTTCACAATTGACGGGTTTTGGGTGAGCAATTCTTACATAGAGGGAAGATAAACTCCTAGGTCCGTTTTTATTGATACTTTATCGTGTTTATTTGCTTTCATAATTAGTTTAATTATTTAGTTGATTATATTTGATAACTTTGCGTAGGCTGGATAAGAATCATAATTGTTAGAATTCGTTACTTAGGATTAGATAATTTGAGTATTCCCTGTGGGATCGACATCCGACTCTCACAAGTCCACTTTTACTAGTTGTTTGCGATGCGTTTACTTGCGTATTAGGTATTTAGCCCAACAAGTTTTTGAGTAATCCACATTCGTTCAAACAAGATCTTATTATAAATGTGTTTTTTTCGGAAAAAAACCATTTTTACCGAATTATTTTTAGAAATTAAAATTGGATATCAAAATATTAGGAGGTTAGATTCCAGTAGCGTACTCGTCGAATTTTAAATAACTAGTATCTTGCCACCATCCTATAA